CTCTGCTGCTAGCGACTCACTCAACAACCGACAGAAGAATAAGTTAACCGAGTTATTGCAAAGGTATAGAACCATTTTCATACCTGCCAATGGAAAAACAGGGAACCCACATCGTGAGTCACAAAATCGATACGAGGGATACCAGACCGATTCGTCAACCAGCCCGAAGATTACCATAGGCCAAGAGAGAAGTTGCAGAAAAGAGCATCCATGTGGAACAGGACAGGGTAATCGAGACATCCAATAGTCCTTGCGCTTAACCAGTGGTCCTGCTAAAGAATAATGATGAAAATATTCGTTTCTGCGTGGACTATCGCCGATTGAATAGCGTGACGAAGAAATACAGCTATCCTTTGCCTCGAATTGACGACACTCTCAACACGTTGGCAGAATCGAATCTTTTCTCCACTTTGGACCTGAAAAGTGGATATTGGCAGGTGGAAATGGATTGAGCAAATAAAGAAAAGAAAGCTTTCACCATCGGCACTGGATTGTGACAATTCAAGGTTATGCCTTTCGGACTCTGCAATGCTCCGGCCACCTATGAACGAATCATGGAGAATTTGTTGAGGGGACTATCCTGGATGACATCATTGTGATCGGTAAATCCTTTGAAGAACAACTGGCTAACCTAAAGGAAGTTTTCAAGATACTTCAGGCTGCAAACCTCACGCTTGATTTGAAGAAATGCTATCTGCTGCAGAAATGGGTTGACTACTTGGGACACGTTGTAGGAAGCCAGGGTGTGGAAGTCGGCCCCGAAAAGGTTCGAACAGTCAAGCAATGTCCAGTACCAAGAGACAAGCATCAACTCGTCTCACCGAGGAAGCACGCCCCTTCCACTGGGATCCAGAATGCCAGTCTGCCTTTGATGCTCTGAAGGAGCGCTTGACCACGACACCGATTCTTGGGTATCCACTTCCACAAGGACAATTCATTCTTGACACAGATGCCAGTAATATCGGCATTGGAGGAGTTCTTTCGCAGTATCAAGATGGGCAAGAGCGAGTCATCGGTTACTTCAGCAAGGTGCTATCGAAGGCAAAACGAAACTACTATAAGTACCTCTATGGACGAAAAATTCTACTCAGGACGGACCATGCTGCATTGGAATGGCTCCTGAATGTTAAGAACCCCGAAGACCAAGTAGTTTGTTGGATCGAGAGGCTCCAAGAATATGACTTCGAGATAGCACACCGAGTGGGGACGAGTCATAAGAATGCAGATGCATTGTCCAGAAGGCCATGTCCACCTGAGTGGTCATATTTTTGTCGTTTGGAGGATTAGGAAGCAGCCCTCTGCAGACCACCGTTGTCAATTAAGATTGGTCACCTGCTGCTATCAAGCAAGAGCAAGAAAAGGACCCAGAATTTTGGAAGCTTCAGGAATGGAAAAAAGCGAATCGTCGCCCTTCTTTGCAAGAAGTAGCACCATCTTCACAGACCTTGAAGGCGTACTGGAGTCAGTGGGACTTCCTTGGTATTAGAAGACGACCGGTTCAAGAGGAATTTCGAGAGCGATGATGGGTCGGATAATCGGATGCAGTTGGTCATTCCCAGGAACCGAGTGTCGGAAGTACCCAGATATGTACATGATGGAATTCAGGGAGACATCTAGGAGTGAAGAAGACACTGCCGCGGGTACGAGAGCGGTTTTACTGGGTGAACTGCAGTGACGACGTCAGGGAATGGTGCCGTAAATGCACCGTGTGCTTCGCCTGCAATGGGCCTCATCGTAAACCAAGGGCACCCATAAGACAGTACAATTTTGGAGTACTATTCGAGGGAACACAAGATCAACAAGTATGTCCGGAAATAAGGGAGCTCACATTTGACGAATTCATTGGGACATGCAGGTTTGGCATCACCAAGGAAGAGCACCGCGACCTTTTTGCCACTCCTGTAGGATACGCACTAGCTTACTACGTTGCCGAGGATCTCCAGATGTCTCGAGGAATTGCCAACAAGTTCATGAGGAAATTCGGGAAGTTTGAAGAGCTTCATCAACAGGGTTCCTCCGTCGGTCGAGCACTAGAAATAGAAGATATCAGCCCTGAAGGAAGAAGGTCTCTGTTTTATCTAATAACGAAAGCAACATCTCTTGAGAAACCCACTTATAAGGACCTCTGGGATACGCTAGTTAACTTACGAATCGCCATACTCGGCAAGGACATACATAAGATAGCTGTTCTTAAGCTGGCGTGTGGTCTGGATGGCTTGAATTGGAGAATTGTAAGAAACATGCTGGAGTTTGTATTTCGATTCACCAGAGTCGAAATTCTGGTATGCTGCTGGAACTCCAAACAAACTTCAAGAGAAAATACAGTGCCATGCTACTTCTACCGTACTGCACCCGAAAAACGTAACAATATTATTCCACTAAAAATAGAAAACATTAGGTAGAGTAAAATGATGAGGAAAATCATTGAATCCGCTTGGATTCGGAGAAGGTGATAATTTTTTCTGTTCATTGGTATAGATAGAACATGGTATTCATTCCTAAGATCTGATTATGAAGATAGTAAATTCAAGATCAACCAACCAACACCTTGTAACTCATTCATTTATTCGCAAGAAACAGTTTGCGATTTTCTGTTGAAAAGGGGAGCAGCTAAGTGTAAATTTAAAACTGTTTCTAATGTCAGGTGAACGATGGATCATACTACTCTAGTTGGTGATGAACAAGTTCATAATCTATCAGAAAACCACAACTTGATCTCAGTATCAACCTCACGGTATTCGAGATATTGGAACGCTTATTTGAAAAATTTGAATTCCTATCTCAATCCATGTTCAAAACAAATATGGAGCTTTTCATGTTGATCTTTATTTTCATTGCAGAAAGCAGTTTTTCGATGGCAGTCATTTACGGTCTACAAAAGTATTATAATTCAATTTGGTGCCTTCATGCTCCTCTTGTACCGTAAATGACTGCTATCAAAAATATGCCTTCTGCAATTGTTACTTCCCAGCAATATTAATCGAAAATAATAATTGAATTAACTTATTTGCTTGGAACATGAGGAGAATTAAATTTTTTTTATAAAATTTTCAAAATCTAAAAAACCTTGGGATTTTTACTGAGGTAAGTTGTAGTTTTCTGATAGGTCATGAACTTGTTTATCACCAGCTGAAATTCGATTTATGGTTTACCAGACCTCCTGTATATCTATTCTTTAAACCTTTTCCAAATCAAGGTGTCATTGACTACTGAATTAATTTCTCTTCAGGTTTTCTGTTAGTGAAATTTTCAAACACATTGACATCTTGGGGCAAATCATTTGATTTGATTCAACAATTTATTTTTCTAAATTTTTTGAAATTCCTTTCCTCGTTTCTATAAATATACAACTAAAAAAACTAAAATCTCTCATAGAAGTCTGAATATCTCAAAATATTCGTACGATGTTATCAAGAAGCTTCGTTACAAAAAAATATAATTACTTTCCTGACATCTTACAAACAATAAAGGTTATCGTAAAAATATCAACTATAATTCTTTCAATCATATTCGACTAGGTTCACTTGATATTCTCAAAATACAAACTCAATATATCAAAGCAGGGTAGGTCGGTAGGTAGTTAAACTAGAGTCCATACTCAAAGTGGAGTAGTTTGCAGTTGACTATCACAAACAAACAAAGTCATCTCTAGAAAATGAATATATGTTCTCATGAAGAATTACAGGTGTTCCTGGAAAATATACAGGGTGGTCCCTGAATAACTGTACATAAGAGTTAAGTAGATTTTTTGTTTCAAAACATTATGATTTGTGCCAACTTTTATGACGCACTACTTTTTTGTTCATCAAATCATAGATATTCAAATCTGAAATCATCGAAGACTCGTCATCTAAGATTACATTTTCACTTGTTATCTTCCCCAAAACTCCATAGCTTTCCAGATAATCATCAGCTTGGAAATCAGTTGCCTGAGTCACATGGAAATGATTTATATTGACATTGATGATCTTTTCACACTATAGAAATATAAACGTAGTAGGCGAACGTCAATAATAATTTTGACAGCTGCTGAAAATATTCATGTCCATAATTTATTATTTTACCTTTCAACTCTCATTAGCGATATTTTGTTAGGACCAGTAAAGTTGACTCGAATCGTAAAAAATTGGAGTCAATAATCTACTATACTATTTTATGCATATACCCGTATGTATATATAGGATGGTTTCACTACATTGAGAATTTTCGTGAAAATGAGAATTGTGTAGCTGATTCCTCAAATGAGATTCTCTAGGAGACTGTGAGAGTTTGAAGATAATAACGTATAACTTTTTTTGTTGAATTGATACCTCTTCAATATTGTTGACTTGAAACTCAAAGAAGTGAAAAATCATCAACGCAAATCAATTGCGTCATTGACTTTTCACCCTCTCCTAAGGATTTTCTAGTGATTTCGAAATAACCTCCTGAATTTCAAACAGTAGATCAAGAAACGCCACGTATATGCTTACGAAAACATAATCTTTGTTCAACCGGGTGCAAGAAAAAACATTTCGCAGCAAAGTCCGTAGTGATATTGTGCGGCAGTTACTCTGGCGCAGTACTTTTGCATGCCGTTACTCAAGGGAGTTTGACATTTCCATATATCATCCGAATCTCATGATTGTACGAACAATAGTGTGTATACCATCTTTTCTCTGCTGGAGCTGCCATGGTGACAATTTTTCTCTCGGAAGGCAAACATGCATTTTGCAGCCTTAGTATAAATAACCATTGAGGCGATAAATATGTGTGATCCTATTGGGTCAGTTCCACCTAGTTTTTTGATTGAATAAAACTTACATGCCCAAAATGTATATTGCATTTCGCTCTTTATCTGTGAATATGGTTGAATATTAGATAATAGATGCGATAAAATCAATCTCATTTTTCATCTCATTCATTCTTCATTTTGTCATACCCATTTCAACCTGAAAATTGTTTCTGCTTAAAAATCTGAACCGTGAATCGATTCGTATTAACATTTTATTTTTATCCAGGAGTGGATTGGAAATCACTAACGATTCCTGCTTGCCTCCCTATTACAACAGACTATTTTCCTGATAGACGAGCCCTAAATATCGATTACGTGGTGTCCTTATACAGTCTACTGCCTGATAGTGTCAATGCTGACTTTGCCCAACAACGATCGACCAATAAAAGACCCCTGACAACTGCAGAAGTATTCAGAGAATTAATATCACAACGTCTTTCACAAGGATTTCAATTGATTTTGATGGCTGATAATAATATCGATTTGAACAATCCAAATCCCAAGATGAGAGGAAGCATGATGAGGAAAAGTCCTACTGAAAATGTGGAGAGCTATTTCTTATCTATTGGCAGGTTGTTCCACAAAATTTCATTGGCTGGAAATACGATATCTGTTACTAGATATAGACCAAGGTAATTAATTATTTATTGTTATTTATATATTTATTGTTATATTTTGCGCTGAGCGCTGCTTTTCATTTATTGAATATCATTATTTGGGTTTTCTGTATTGGTAGCATTTTTAATTTCGTCATCTCACAAAAGTTCTCTCACTCGCAGTGTTGTCATATCAAGAAAATGTCAGTTCAAATTCAAATTTGAAATTTCTAACTTTTGATGATAAAATTAGTATAGAATCTCTATGAAATGTACCAATTGAAAGTTTCGTTGAAAGCAAAAAACCCGGATACGAAAGTTTGATGAACGGATATGGAAATACTTCTGAAAAAAAATAAAAACATCATTTCATGAGTTTTCAAGGAATATTCACAAGAGGAGGGATTGGATAAAAAGTATTGGGGAATCGGGCAAGGGTTTGGATGAGATCATGCTGTACGGACACCGAAAAATGTGGAGCTTTCATTCTTAGACTGGGAGCCCTTGAGATGTTTTTTGTGTCACATTTGTTCACACTCAGCAGTATATGAATCTCCCAAGTTCCACCTTTCACTACACGCATTTGAGCTCGCCGAAAGTTGTATTACAAAACCCGGGGTCACGAATCAATACTTACCGTTCGGCGCATTTCGCAAGTTACTGTGATTGAAAAAAAAAAGGTTTGGGTGGACGGCATTGCCGATAGTGTAGGGTGGATACGTTGCGCAGTGGCGCTGTATAATGTTGTAAACAATTGTAATGACGTGTTAATTATTATGAAACACCATCGCTGAACGTTAACAAATGGTTAACGAAATTTGGATTTCAAGACTACAAATGTCGATATCCAATTGATTATTAGTCTATGGTAAAAGTCCATGGTATCTCAAAGTGGAGTGAATAGATTCATCTTGTTTGTCTTGTTTATTTATCAATTGATTATTGATCATTATTGAGCAGATTTTGCTGTTTTTTTGAAGGGCTTCCGGTTAAAAGAGGATGCCAGTCGTCAGCTGAGCCCTTCTTGGCATCCCATTCGATTTTATCATGGAAAAACGAAATTTCAAAGCAAAAAACAGAATAAAACACAAATACCTACCTTCAGCAACCCATTCGAATCAAATATACTGGCAAAAATTGTAGTGATTTAATCTCATTAGAGGTAAACTTCACACCTACTTATACAGGGCCCGCAGAACATAAACTTATCGTGAAATTGTAGCATTTAAATTTTTCACACTTTATTTTTATGGATTTCAAAATATTTGGAATATAGCTTTTCTCAATATTAGTATAGCTTCCAAGTTTTTCACACTTTATATTAGGCTTAAAATGGAATCAAAATATTTTTTGAAATTATTGTATTGTAACTTTATTCAGTTCAACCTACCTGGTACATCTAAAAGGTTTAAGAGTAGTACATACGAAACATAGTGATGACAAAATGATTCTTGGTCAATCTCGAGGTTGAATTAGCCAATTTGGTGATGAGAGGATGAATTCTTTTCCTAAAATACAGGATTTGTATTATTTACATTATCAAGCAGAGTTGGCAAACTACTCACCAGAACATAACAGGAGTCCAATCTACGATGATGGTTCGCAGGATACCTTTTGGAAATTGGTATAAGGTCTTTTCTCATGTGGGAAATACCTCTTCAGTTCGGTTGGGCCTTTTTCACAAGTTTATTTCCATTGTTTTGCTTTTCATCCCATTTTCAAAAGCAGAGTCCACCTATCCATCACTTGTAGATTGTCATCACTGTCACCTCTATCACTCCATCTAAAACTCCTCCCATTTCTCGCACCAAGAATACCAAAATCGAGGTTGCCAGGTTTATTCTTGGAATTCCTAAGAAGTTGTTGAATTTGGTAAGAGTAGTGTAGAATCGTGCAGGTGTAGATCATGAATGGTATCACAGGATTGGTCAGTTCTAAGGGAAATTTGCGAGAGTCACTATTTTCTGCTCCTTTTCTATTCTGGTCTTCCAAGACAATAGAACAATGGCGAGAGATCCGTTTCCGGAAAGATGAAAGGTACTTTAGTACGTTATCACTGGCACTTTGGTTCTGGTGTTCGAAGAGATCAGATGTGCTAAGGTGCAACTTCTGCAGTGAGGTAACAGGTTCAGCCTGGATTTTGTATTCCCGCCTTCCAAGGGACAGTGGAAACCTCATAGCTGCTACCACCAGGATCTTTCCAGAAACTCCAGCCGTTTGATTTGGTTCCCGGCAAGCCAGAAGTCTCTGTCCAGGATCGACCACGTGGGCCTGGGCAATTTTTTTGATCTCCGGTTGTACCCTTCGAAGAAGGTGAGTCCTATGGAAGTTTATTCCCACTTTTCTCCACCAGAAATCGATTCCAGGCGTGACCGGTATTTTTTTTTAAATAGGGTTTTTGGGAGGGCATTCAAGCCCACATTTTTTGATCCCGGCATACGATGCTGTACAGTTCAGCCATGTGGTTACTGTACCATGCGGTCCTCCACGAGGTGTCATCATCAGATGTTTCATCGTCAGTAACTTCGTCGACTTCAGCTGCTAGCTTTGGTTACATCCATATCAGTCTCAGCAACTCAATGGTTGTCCCGTCCCAGCTCGCATCATCTGGTTCCTGCTAGCTCTACATCTTTCAGCTTCAGCTGCCCTTCTGTCTGCTCCAGCCGCCAGCTTCAGCTGCTAAATTGTCAGATTCGTCTGTCCGCAGCGTGATGGAAAATATTCTTTAAAAGGGTGGTAATTATTGATCAATCCGGTATAATATATAATAATTTTGTTTTGACCAAATTTCTGTCCCTATGATTTTTATAGGTATATAAATTGATTTTTGATTTATTTTTTGACCAAGTAGATTGGTGAGATACCAATAAGCAACTTCAAATGCTTATGTAAGCGAAACATAGTACTATGCGGTAGCGCCTGCGAATAGCTGATTTTTTACTACTTGTTCGATTATTTATACTAGACATCACCTAGAGGCTTGGTAACATCAGAATATGCATTTTTTTAATTACATGATTTCCTATATTGATCATATTCCCATCCATCAAATGATCATCGATTGATCACATTTTTTGTCAGTAAAATATTATATAATGAGTTTTAAATTGATAATATCTACATCTATCACATGATCAACGATTGATCACAATTTTTGTCTGTAAAACATTATATAATACATATTCATATTGATATTTACATCTATCATAATTATGTGCATCGATTGTTCTCAATAATTTTTTGTCAATAGGATATACCTGAATTTCAGAAACATTTTCACCCATCACGTTGTTGTATATATGTATATAATATATGTGTCACGTTTATTATGACTTTTATTTATGGTATGATGAACATTCACTAATTTTATAATTCTCAAATATCACTAATATGCAGTCAAATATTCTTTATAAAACTTTTTCTATTTGGTTCCTTAACTTTCCAGATAGCTACTTGTGATCCATGGGTCAATAGTTGTGATAATTCAAAAGTTGAGTGGCGCCTAAATTTTTTGATTATTGAGTTATGCAATCTTTTCTATTTAACGAACCCATAGTGCTTCTCTGACCAACAGCTGCCGTTCGCAAGTAATCATTCTTTTTGTTTTGCTTCAAAATATCTTAATTTTGAATATAGTAAGGTTACAAAATTTGGGAAAATGTATTTTATTCTGATAGACATGCCGTCTGTTATAATTACCTATATTTATCTTGGAGAATTCCTATTACCTAAAAATTAGCCAGTTAGTGTTTTCAATTTTCTGTTGTTGGATTTTCCACCCAATTGATCGTTAGACTTGAAAAAGTAATTTTTAAGTAGAGTGTTTGTAGTACATGTTAATATGATAGTTGCAATTTGATCATTTGAATGAATTCTGCATTCATTGCCACGAGGCAAATGACCGTTTTCAGAAAGAAATTTGAGAATGTATTTAGTTAAAAATGACCGTTTAATATGAACATTCAAGATATTTCCTCGAATTCAGAGATGATTTTGTTGAATATAATATACGAATACAAAACTAACTGCACAATCGAAGCTTGCGGATAGAGTAATTTTCCTCAACTCATACTTTATATGAGAGTAATTTTCTTCTATTATTAATTCATCATTATTCAAATTAAGTTCTGTTTACACAATTCGCACCGAATTCTTCTAAGAGTAATATAGCAACAATGACTTGCTAAATAGGTTATTACCGGCATGGCATCACTATTTTTATCTATATCAGATTCCTCGAATATGATATCTGGATTGGAAGAAAGATTTTCTTGGATTTATTCGGTTAAATCAATATTTTCGTGGAAGCGCCTGATTCGTATATTACCGTGAGTACGAGATTTTAGCGTGAGCAGTGATTAAATTCTGAGCCTTTTTTCCGATCCATACAATCGTCGAATAGATATGTGGTATTGTCCACCTGAAAGTTGGCCATATTTCCCGAACCTATGTTCCAAATCATCTGTATGAAATTTTCCTAGTAAAAGATAATTCATCTTGGGTTCGTTAAAACAATATTGTACAACTTCTGTCATTCCATATATAGTGTGAATCGAAGCAGTATGTGTTTGGTTCATTAGTTTATTAGTAGAATTCGTAGATTTCCAAGTTCCTAACCAATTCATCATTTTATGCAAGAAAATGAATATTTCATCAGAACAAAAATGTATAGCTGTGATAGGTTCTTGAAATACCCTTGAGGGGTGTTTTGACATTCACAATTTTCCACCAGTTGAGTATCAGGTTCATAAATCCAGCAGTGCCTTCAGAGTTCTCAATGTTCGATCCAAATTCCAAAAGAACCTGTACTATGAAATCATTGGAAATTTTGAGAGCCAAAGCAACGTTTTGTCTTTCCATATTCGAGGGAAATTACGCCTTCAGGTTATACGGATATCAAAATTTAAATAATTTATCATGTTTTGATTCGTGAAGGGTTTTCAGACTATGAAGAGAAGCAACTCTTTCAACCCCTGTTCCTAGATCGGGATAATTTCTGATCAGGTTTCAAATTGGGCCAATTATTCCTTATGCAT